GTACTGTTAGCAGTGTGGTACTGTTAGCAGTGTGGTACTGTTAGCAGCATGGTCCCGTTAGCAGCATGACGACAACCGTGGCAATGCACGTTGACTGGCTGCCCTCCAGAACTGGGTTCGGCAGACACAGAACATCCCAGGTTTTTCCCCGTGGAACTGAACTGTTATGTAGTTCGTTCTGTGCAGGCAGATGGAGGATCATGGAGACGGCCGCCATGACAAGCCGGAGCCTGAGCCTGAGGCTGGATGGGGGACGGGAACTGAACCACGATGGCAGGATGGCAAGGCAGCGACACATAAAACACCAGAAGTGCGTTGCGGTCATACCCGCAGCATGGGTGTACAGTATGCACAAATAAAGTTAAAACAAAAGCAACAGGATCAAAAAAGAGCACGTCGAAGAGGAGCTCCCGTTAGTGCTCCCATACTGCAGACATTTGAGACTTTTGGTTTTAGTGTGATTATATGATGCTGAAAGGGTTAGCTCAACACAATAAACTTTAATGTTTGCCATGGCTTTTTTAGGTTTGTCGTGGAGAATAGTATTTGTATAAATGAGTTGTTGAAATCAGATTTTTGGGTATATTTTTATTCATCTTGTGACATTATTTTACACTGTAAGTAAAGAATCCATACGCTCCCGTTGCCACTAACTGTACTCAATTGTCTTGCAGATGATTTACAACCCAGGCTGTCCATTCAAGTCCTCACTTCTATTTTCCAGAAGCATAATTTTTTTCTTGTCCAATTCTGTGCTGCAGCTGGTTTTCCTGTTCTTTCTTCAGCCAGTCTTTCTCCACATACGCACCCACCTCTCCCACTGTGCACCTTTTTTGTGCATCTAGAGCCAGAAGCTTTCCGAACATCTCCATAGCTTCTGGAGTGAACCTTTTCCACAGAGGAGGAACGTCCTCGTCAGTGTAAGGTTTCTGCTTCGTTCTGCACCAGTCCGCAAACTCCTGGTAGAAGCTATCAGAGTCCAAGCAGTGCTCCCAGGGGAAGTAGCCTGTGAGGATGCAGAAGATGACCACGGCGAAGGCCCAGGTGTCGAGGCTCGGCTCAACGCTCAGAGGAGCTGCCGTCACTTCTTTCTGGTTGTCCAGCAGAGCCACGGTGCAAAGTTCTGGGGACATGTAGGGCAAGGTTCCTGTGACGAACCGTATCAAGGTGCCCCTCTTCTGAGCAAGACCAAAGTCTGCCAGCTTGACCTGACAGCACTGACTGTCCAGCAGGAGGATGTTCTCAGGCTTCACATCCCGGTGGACGAAGCCGTGGCTGTGGATGAACTCCAAAGCACTCGAGATCTGGACAACACAACGTTTCACAGAGGATTCTGGGATACCCACCTGAAAGAGTAAAATGATTGTCATTTTTTGTGAATAATGTATGTACTATGATTATACAGGGAAAACAAACGTTAATGGCTTTTACGTACATGTTTTTAAAGACATTGACAAGAAAAGACTTCTCTTTGTGTTTGTGTTGAAGCCAAACTGAACAATTCATTTATCAATGATTTGACCTGTCGCGATAAACAATAAATCAATCAATCGCATGATAAATGAAAATGATCTACCTCGTTTTCATTTATCGGCTTTATCGTTTCATCATGTCTCTTTTCTTACTACCAAGTTGAGAAGCTAAGCTAACAGGCCGACCTCGGGAAAAAACCTCCGTCTTGTCGAAGCTCCAAGATTCACAGTTGAAACCCGTGCCTTTAAAAGTTATTTCTCTCTGCAAAAAGAAGCTGAGAACTTGTTTCCTGATTTTTATTAAAAGCTTTGTGTGAAAAAGGCTATGCTAAAGAGCTCAAACCACACAGAGCTTCCACCATTTCGAGAACCAAAGAGAGCCAGCCCATGTGACATCAAGAGGCCTCCCTCCCATCCATCCATCCATTATCTTTTACCCGCTTCTTCCATTTTGGGGTCACAGGGGTGGACGCTGCTCGCTCCCTCACTATCCATACTTTGGTTCAAATCATCTTATACTGCCATACGGTGGTCTTAAAAAGGTACTACACACAAAACAAATTAACATTTCTTCTTAAATTTGACAATAATTACCAATTATTGTCAAATTTAATACAATATTATCGTTTATCTCAATAATTTCTGAGACAATTAATCACCCAGCAAATTTTGTTATCGTGACAGGCCTATCAGTGATCAATGTGTTACTTTAAATTAAGTTATTCTTGATGCTCAGGGAAAGAAAACAAAATCTTGGTGGTCAACAGACTGCTCAAAGGCATCAAATTATTTTTTACTTGCCCCATAAGACACTGCATTTCAGTAAGTACTCAATGCAGTACAGTTACTTTACTATGCTGCAGTACTGTGTTCCCTGGAACAGCAAAGCTCTTGAGTGCTTGTGCTTATTTTGTTAGATTCCCCTGGTAGTTTGTCGTTGCCACTTTGAAGATAGAAAGCTCACAAACAAAAATATGAGCTACAAATAAAATATAAGGCAAAGTATAAAATAAACTTCCCATTATTTGAAGAGAAATCAGTAGTTCCACCTTGAGGAATTTCAAAGTCATTACAACAGGACGTTTCTTTTATGTCATTGCCTTGTAGCTTTTCATGAAGTTAAAATCCAAATGTTTTTAATAAACTTTTGTATCTAGAAAAAAAAAAACCATGATCTTGGCAACTCGTTGCACTGATTTGCTGATATTTTGATTACAGTTCAACTCAATTCAATAATCCAGGTGTGAGTTCAGCAGTCTGATGGTTTGTGGGATGAAACTTGCAGAACCTGGTGGTTCTGGTCATTAGGCTGCGGTACAGGAGTGAGCTGTTTCTGGGACTCAGTTTGTTTGGTGGGCTCCTCAGATTGAAGAAGTCCTTTGGATGAAGGACGAAACGTCTCAGCAACAAAAGAACCCGTCCAGATGACCTGACTGAACATTGCTGTATACTCACTACCATAATTTACAAAAATCACACGCTGATCAAATTCCATAATACAACCTTCTGAATGGAACAAACGACTTTAGATGAGTTTTACTGATTTTTACATTGAAATCAAAGTTAATCATTGTTGCTTAAAAATACGTGTCTCCACAAAACCTCTTTATCAAGCTGCTTCTTCAAACAAAAATGTGTAGGTTGCATTTCCATTCTACCAATATGAAGTCAAATAAGAAATTATGAAATTGAATGGAGGACCAAAAGAACTGTTTCTATTCTGTAACCTGCAGATGAACGTATCGTATTTTTCACCCTATAAGCCGCAGTTTTTTTGCATAATTTGCATGCCCTGCGACTTATACACTGAAGCGACTTATTTATGGATTTTGTTCCCATATTTATAAACCAAATTTTGACTGAGATTTGACCGTTTCCATTCATTTCGACATTGAAAACATTGAACACTACCATTTTCAGCCGCTAGATGGCACTGGAGTAATATGGCATGCCATTGTATCATGTAAAAAGAATAGGTAAATGACACAATCGGCTCACCATAGACTGACGTTGTCGTCTGCCTGGCCCCGGCGAAATGCAGCTAATTTAACCACTGAAGTGCATTTATTAAGAAAAACATCTGAGACACACCTTTGCTATAAAGTTCAGCAAACAAATAATTGTTTTTAGTTGTTTATCTTGTAAAATTTCAAAGAAATGCACAGCGAGTCGCCCTCTGCACATTCATGTTTCCGCAAATCGGGTTTTGAAATGCAGATGATTTGACCGTCAAAGTGCTTTTATTAAGGAAAAGTTAGACTGAGACACACCTTTACTATAATTTCAAGCAAATAAATAATTGTTTTTAAGTATTAATCTTATTAAATTCTTGTTAAAGTCCTCCCGTGCATGCCCCCGCGGCTGCCATTTGGCAGCCAATTGATTTTTGGCACAACACCGGCCCATATTTCTGGTTCGGCCCACATTTCCGGGTTGTCAGCGGTGACGCATAATAGATGCGACATATTTATGGATTTTTCCACTTTATTCAACATTTTTGGACCGATGCGACTTATAGGGCGGTGTGACGGGTACGGCAGAAAATACGGTATATATTTACAAGCTTTGGACTGATGTGACACTCATTCACCCATTTTTTTTGTGTGTGTGTTATCGCAGCTTTGAATCATGTTTCAGATTGTGTGACAAGATAAATTCTTATTTAAGTAAGTCTCTTTCTTACTGATGCATTAAAAAAAAAGTGTGATTTAAATTGAAACCTTCAATAGTTTAGCACAATATATTTTTTTAAAAATCCATGCAAGAAGCATCTGTTTGGTAGATTTGATTAACCAACTTCCCAAATGTTTTGAAGCAAACAGTAGGATTGGTCATGAGTCATGGTCGTGTAGAATATATATCGACATGCTAACATGTTAAACCAAACAATTTGAGATTCTCCAAGTTTAAACTTGAACATTAGTTAGATCAGGAGCGTGTTAAATAACCGTTAGCATCCACCTCAGGGTTCACTGTACCTAAATCAAGCACTACAGCTCTGCTAACGTGGTTCTAAGTCCTTCTTAAATCCCACTTGGACGATGAATGACTCACTTTTGGCTGGATGACGGCAAATAGATCCCTTCCAATGACAAGCTCCTGGGCAAAGCAGTAGTGCTCTTGGGACTGGAAGGCAATGCCAAAGAGGCCCACGATGCAGGGGTGCTGGGACAGGTGTAAGGAGATGCAGTACTCCCGCAGAAAGCCCTGCAGCTTAGTCGAGGCTTTGGGCATCACTTTCAAGGCCATGGGGGTCCCTGCAGGTCAGGAAGGTGAACATTCACTCAGTGTTATCCAAGTTTATTCACATCATATGGAAATGAGGAGTTAAAAATACTTAAAAATGATTACTTCAGTGTATCTTTTACTGTGCTTGATCTAAAACATGAAACCTCTCCAGGGTCTCGCACACTAACAAACATGCACATCTTGGTGGTTTGAACTTTAAACCCTTCAGGCTTCGAGCCATCCATGCTAATGTCAGCTGTTGATCTGCTTCCTGGACTTCACCTCCAGAGACCAGCTCACAGCTTCGTTTCTTGTTTCCTGATACCCTTTAGGTCATCAATGGTTTACGTCCAAACAAATCTCATTTGTACGCCTCAACTTTGTTCAGTAAACTAAATTATTGAGCATGGACTGATTTGGTTTGTTCAGTAAACTTTTCTGGTTTGATTTGTTTCTGTTAGTTTAGTGAGGCCGCTCGCTGAAGGCTCAAAAACTCAACTTAATTTCAGTTTAAGTTTATTTTGATTCAGCGTTAAATCTCTGTGCACATTTTTAATCAAAAGATTTTGAAAGTTTGTTCATTTTTATTTGTTCATTCATTCATTTTTTAAAAAGACAGTTTTGAAGTTTCTTGAGGGAATTTAAATTTAATTTCGTCAGTTTTAGCAATTTTTGATACTTGATTTTTTTTTTTTTTAGTTTGTGACTTCAATATATCAACATTGATTAAACAAATGGGACAAATCAAACCTTGACAACTTCCTTTGTGTTAAAAATAAATGTTTGAAACATGGTGATAAAGGACATTTTGCTTGACACCGACAGCAAAACTTTCCTTGAACAAGCGTGGATTTCCTTCAGATGCCTTGGATTCCACGCCATTAATCCATCCATCCATCCATCCATCCATCCATCCATCCATCCATCCATCTTCTGCTTGTTCCAAAGTTGGGTTGCGAGGGCAGCAGCTTGAGCAGGAAGGTCTGGACATCTCTCTCCACTGTCACCTCTTCCAGCTCTTCTGGGAGCTCCAAGGCGTTCCCAGACCAATCGAGAGCTGTATCTCTCCAATGCGTCCTGGGTCTTCCCCAGGGTCTCCTCCCACTCGGACATGCCCGAAGCACCTCCCTAGGGAGGCGCCCAGGAAGCATCCTTACTAGATGCCCAAACCACCTCAACTGGCATCTCAATGTGGAGGAGCAGCGGTTCTACTACGAGTCTCCTGATAACTGAAGGGAGAGTCCAGCTACCCTGCAGAGGAAACTCATTTCAACCACCTGTATCCACGATCTCGGTCTTTCGGTCCCTACCCAGAGTTTGTGACCATAGGTGAGGGGAGGAACGTAGACTGACCGGTAAACAGAGAGCTTTGCATTACAGCTGAGCTCCTTCTTCACCACAACGGACCGGCACGGAGTCCACAAGACTGCAGACGCTGCAATTAACAGATGGATTCCCCGCACTGTCTGAAAGCATGTATTCTAGGTGAATTGACAACTCTAATATGTCCGTAGGACTGAGTATGAAGAGTTGTTTCTACGTGGCCCTGTGGTGGATTGTGTCAGGTCACCTTTCTAGGGGGTACCCTGCCTTTGACCCAGTGACTGCTGGAGATAGGTACCAGCTCCCTATGACCGTAGAAAGTAACAACAAGGGGGGTGAAAATGGATAAAGTGGATGTTTTCGTGTAACTTGTGACATTCTAAAATGTTTACAACATGACTCATATTTAAACAGTTTACAGTTATGTAAAGTTTTACCCCTGAAGCGATGCGTGACCAACAGCACTTTGCCATATTTTCCCCGACCGATCTCCTTGATGACATTGAAATGTTCCTGGATCTCAAGGTTGTTGATGCTCTGAGCCGTTAACTCCATCAGCTCGTCGATCAGGCTCCCCTCAACCAGACCCAGCTCAATCATCGCGTCCTACAACAAAACACCCAGACAAAACAAACATTATTAATGTCCTCCCAGACAGTTAATTCACTTCAGTTTATTTATTTAGTGACAAGTCACAACAGAAGTCGTCTCAGGACACTGAACAGAAACACAGAACAAACAGCTGAATATTAGAAGGATAGTTCGATCAGCAGCAGCAGCTGAATATTAGCAGGATGGTTCAATCAGCAGCAGCTGAATATTAGCAGGATTAGCAGAGTAGGAACAGAGTAGGAACAGAGTAGGAGCAGAGTAGGAACAGAGTTGGAGCTGAGTAGGAACAGAGTTGGAGCAGAGTTGGAGCAGAGTAGGAGCAGAGTTGGAGCAGAGTAGGAGCAGAG